GCCCCACACCCCTTCTTATGTGACCAGGCCTACGTGACAATCTGCTTATGTCAGATGTCTGTGCTTATGGGATATCTGCCTCATAATCTGTGCCTGGGACACTGTGCTCCTGGCTATGCAAGTCTACTCAAGAGTGACCTCTTATCTCCTTTCAAGTTTCTGCTTTCTTATAAAGATTGGGGGCTTCTTTGCATCAGAGATTTTCTGACTTTGTTTCTTCTCAAGATCTTATCGTATTCCTGCATTCCTAACTCCTTACAATATGCCTGCTTTTTCCTATATAAGATGTAACCTAAGAATTAATAAACGAGACTTGATCAGAATACTGTCTTGTCTCCCATCTCTCGCGTCTCTTGTCCCATCCAATTCCCACTCCCCCCTCCAGGGTCTGCGTTGAATATCCCGCGGGTCGGGACACCATTCTATGTATATAGTAGAGTTTAATTATAGTATCATCAATTGATATCTATACATGTCTATATTTGCATGCTAGTGCTAGTATTCTAGGAGAACATAGTCCTAAAAGGTAGAATTACAAATAGGAACTTTATAGACATTAATAGATACTGCCAAATTTCCCTCCAAAATAAATGTACCAATTTATAAGTTATCAGCTGTGTACGAAGGACTATTCTCCATGAGTAAATTTTTAATTAAGCTTTTAAGGAATTGAAAGAAACCCTTTCAAATAATAAAAATGTGTATATTGTCTAAACTTAATTAAATGTCTTCTCTATAATTTTCTACAAGTTTGCTTAAGGAATATTTTTTTCTAAGTTATTGTTCTCAGGTCAAACAATTATTATTATATGACTTTTTAAATTTGGGTGCAAGTATATTGAAAAGGGAGTTGGACACATTTAGAACTGATCTATAAGAGCAGAAATGAGAAAAGTAACAAAGATAAGTCATCTATCATGTGGCATGATTACAAAGAGAAACAATATATGGTAGCAATTAATAACTCCAGTTATGGAGTCAGACCCACTCAATCATTCATTCAACTAATCTTTATTGAGCATCTACTGTTTGGCAGGCTCTGTTCTATGTGTTGGGACATATGGGTGAACAAGACAAATAGGGTCCTCCTGCTCCCATATTTACATTAGAGTCATGGATATAAAAATAAGTTGATTAATTAACAGAACAATTTCAAAAAGTGATAACCAAATCGAGTGTTGTAAGAGATTACTGGGGAGGAAGGATCGGGTTCCTCTAGACCTGGTGGCCAAGCAAGGCTTCTCAGAAGGGGTGACATGAGAGATGAGACCTAAAGGACAAGAAGGAACTGGCTAGGGCAGATGTAGGGCAGAGAAAGAGCAAAGGCCCCAATGTGGAAACCAGCTTGAAGGGCTCAGGAAATGGAAAGGAGGCCAGTGGACTACAGTGTGACACATGATGTTGTAGGAGAGCACTGCCTGGGACAATCAGGTAGGGCTTTAAGGCCACTGGATGGCATTTGCTTTCCACTGTAAGCCATTAGACCATTTTAATCATGAGTGGCATGATCTGCTTTAAACTTTAGAAGATCATACTGGTGAATATACTGCTTGCCACTTGTTAACTGTGTATCCTGGGATGAGCTACATTACCTTTCTTAGCTTTAGTTTCCTCATTTGTAAAGCTGAGATAGTAACACTATCACACAGAGTTGATACAAGGATTAAATGAGACAATGCATGGAAAGCACTTTGCACACTGCTTGGCACGTAATAATTGTTTGGTAAATACTCCCAACTAAATCACTGTTACAGCATTAAGATAATATTGAACAGAACTGGCCATAATTCACTATTCCCAATTATGCACACAATAACTAAATGTATTCTTTAAAATTAGTCCTGACTCCAAATTCTGTAATATTAAAAACCTGGATATTTCCATATTGAATCAACATTTGCCACTTTTCTCTTACCAGACCCTGTAATACAACCCTGGGCTATTCATGTGTATGTGCATGCCCCCTACTTACACACACATGAGGTTATTTACCTTTGTGTTATCCCCAGGGCCCGCAGTGCTCAATACATCATACATAAGGAAGGCAGGTAGGTGGGTGGACAGGTGGGTGGATGGACTAACAGACATATGAAGAATAAAAATCATGAGGGCAAGAGAAAAGAAGGGAGTACCTCAAACAGAAGTATTTGAAAGAATGAAGTTTTTAAATGAGTATATAAAATGTATAACTGATAATTTATTGACATATTTATTATTTTATTTGTGCATTTACACAGTGCCAGACACAATATTGAAACCATAACAGGAGACACAGCCCTACCATAAATACTTACTACCTTCCAATCTTGCCTCATCTCTACTGAAAATCTTTAGCAACACTCTGAGAAACACAAAAGAGCTACTTCTCCTATTTTCCAAAGTTCTGATAAATTATGTGTAATAGAACCGAAATTATGAAACCTGCTGTACTTAACCCTTGCTTTCTTCACGCACTCAGATCTATTCGTGAGTGTGATATATGACACCAAGGAAGTTTATATATAGAATTCCAATTTCTAGCCTTTGAAACAAAGATCCACAATAGTTGTGGAAACATTCATTCAGTAGTCCTGCATCTAAATATGCAAATTGTTCCTATACATCTAAAAGTGTGTAATGGAAGAAAAGTTACTCTATATCCAAATACAGAGGACCATAGAAATTTGAGAAGCTACTGATTTAATTAAATAAAATTAGTAAAAGAACAATATAAAAGAAAATAATATACTTTTTTGGAGATTGTTCTGTGATATACAAAGTATATTTCTATGCATTGTTATTTTGATCTTCACAACAACTTTCTAAGAAAACATGGCAGATTTTTTTGCCTGCACTTTTTAGACATAAAAACTGACACACTGAGTAAATGATTTACTCCGTGTTTCCAAATCAGTATGTGACAAAATTAGAACTCTAACCTTGATTTTATCAGTGTGTCTTCTGCCACCCCAAATTAATTCAACAGGCTGCAAATAGTGAAAATCATTAAAACTGAAAGCACTTCTACTGAGAAAGAGACAGAGGAGCCAGCTATGTATAAAATAAGTTGCGAGTTGCATTATTAAAATTCCTCAAATATCATAAGTCCTTTCAAGAAATACCATATTTCCTTTATATAAGTGTAAGTCTTCCCTAATCATTAAAATATTGTATATTCCCTTGCTCCAATAATAATAATAATAATAAAGCTTTTATCTCTTGAAAACTTATGTGCCAGACTCTACATACTTCACGTTCATCAACTTCAATTCTTGCCAACAACCTTATGAGGTACGTGATACTAATCATCATCATTGTCATCATTACGTAGGTGGAGAAGCGGAGGCATAAAAGGGGTTAAGCAACTTGTCCTTGACCATTTGGCTAGTAAGTTGGAAAGCAAAGATTCAATCTCATGCAGACTTGAGCCACTGACACTTAACTGCAACCTTATGCTGCCTCTTGAAGAGGTGGAGAAGCGGAGGCATAAAAGGGGTTAAGCAACTTGTCCTTGACCATTTGGCTAGTAAATTGGAAAGCAAAGATTCAATCTCATGCAGACTTGAGCCACTGACACTTAACTGCAACCTTATGCTGCCTCTTGAAGAAGAAGCCTCTTCTGTAATCCATTTCAGTTTCTCCCCTGCTAGATTCAACTAATGATAAAGGAAGAATCTCTAACTTAAAGACTTAAACCGCTTCCATGCGTGTCTAAGCAATACCAAACCAGTCAACCAGTGACTACACTTCATCTTCGAAGTTCTGGAGGACCCATATGCAAAGCGCCTAGCAGAGAACTTGGCACAAGGTATGCAGCTGTCAATTACTGACACTCTCCTACACGTCTGGCATTATGCTAAGTGCTTTTCTATATTGTATGCATACCATAAATGTTAAAATTGTACTTCTTTTTCTTTTTGGTAGGCTGGATCCAAAGCTATTGCTTTGGAAATTAAGCTGAGCAATGGAGAAGATTTCTTTTCATAAAGGCGACAACTCTTATATCACTGGGCATAGAAAGCTGCTGTACATGGATTGTAAGGAACTACTTTTCCTGTGACCCCTGATGAGACCCACATGCACACAGGAAAGTAAGAAGGGGAAGTAACAATGGGAAGACTGACGTCCTAGGTTGAACTCACCACCTATAGAGAGATTTCCTCTTCAGGAAAAAGAAAAATTAAAGCACAAAGAAATTAGAAGCATATATATTATATGCTTCTATATATAATATATAATATAATACACATAATTTTCTAAATCAATTTGATGAATTATAAACAAGGACTCTCTCTGAGTCCCCTTAAATATTATGCTTTCTTGGCCTTTTTCAGGAAAAATCAATTCATTAAAAAACTGTATTCACACATAACTTTTCAGAAATCCACATACTATGAAAAACAAAGTACGCTAGCTTCCTACCCTCCCTTGCTAAAACTAGTTTGGAGAAATTTGATTTCAGGACAATGCTAACCCATTCATTCAACAATTTATCGAGCAAAAACTATCTTACATACTTCATGTTAGATGAAGTAGATATACAAATGAAGAAGAAAAGCTCCCATCCCACTATCGAACTCATAGTCTAGTGAGAAATACAGAAAGCAGCCATTCTTTAAAATATGTCAATGACTACTTCTAACTTGCCATGATGTATTCAAATGAATCTAGTAAATTATCTAAGTAGATGCATATCTTTCTCAACTTCAATGTTCTTCAAATTCCTGGTTGATTAATACATTAATATCTAAACAATAAAAATGGAGAACTACTTACAGTAACAGGCAACGATCTAGGGTTCACTGTACATTCCACAGCCAATATAACTAATATTGATTTTCAGATTACCCTCTTTTTTATATTACTCATACCTCCTTTCCCTTCTATTAGTGTAGAGAACTGAGTTGTCTGTGCATTTGCTTGATTCCACTGAGAGGCCTGAACCATCACTTGGAAATATCAATCATGCCCATAAGATTTGTCTCTACTAAAAGCCTGCAGTGAAATGATAATGCACTAACCTGTCTCCAGTTAATGGCAAAATAATGGTTGCTTGAGAAGAAAACACAATGAAAGATAATCTCATTTCAGGGCTGCAAAATAAGAAAAGAGGCAGTTAAAACATTTTAAAAAGAAATATTGAAACAATACAGATGAATAGCTAGGAGTTTCATTTAAAATTGGTCTCACTGAATGGTCCAGGCTTCTTTTAAATGGGAGTCTTTAAGTAGATACACCAACTCTGCTTGACATTACTGCATAAGTCATTTTGGATTTAGTCAGTGCTTCTCAGCCCTCAAACACTCCTCCATGACCCATAGGGACTTGCATTTAGAAAGAGACTAACTGGAAAGATAAATTCTAGGCTGATGTAAAATTCTTTCATAGAAAATGCTCCTCCCTTTTGTATTCTATTTCATCTCCTTGAAGGAGACCAGACCCTTTGGAGTTATTATCCTTAGCCAAACTTAGGGCTGGAGAGCAGCCAGTTTGAGTCAATGATACCAACTATGATATGAGCCCATATGAAAGTCATCCTGGACTAAGAATACTTATAGAATGTCATAGAAAATGTGAAAGAAAGTAACAATTAACTTTTTGAATAGGCATTTTCAATTTTCCAAGTCTCAAACATATTTCCAATCAGCAATAATTGCCCTAGTCAGCTACATCTTTCAATCTTTAGGCATGTATCTACGGTTCTTGTTTCTAGGACACTGCAAATATTACTAAGATCCGAAACTGAAGATATGAAACTAAGATCTATAAACTGAAGAGCAAAATTACCTTAAAGGCTTACTCATATTTTAAGTCATTTTCTTCAGAAGTCAGCCTTTATTCACTTCCTGTGATGCATTGTTACTTAGTAACTGAGCAACTAAACTTAAGCCAGACACCTGTGTATTGTATAATTTCAACATGCAAACCAGACCAAATGAATAAGAGCACTGATTCTTTAAAGTGTATTGAAACAATTCATTGCTTTTGATCAAAATGGATATGACACTTTCTGCACACTCTAGGATTAAATCAGAAAATTTATAAACAACTGTCTGTTCTGCCTTTGACATTCAAGGATACAGGGCCTTGTTTATTTTTCTTCTCTAAACAGTTTTACCTCAGACCCTGTCCAGAAATGAGAGTTGTTCTACTTGGCTTCTTAAGCAGGGGACTGATGATTGAACATGGACAGGCATACATTTTTATAGGGATAACTTTACTGCTGCCAATAACTGAAAGCAAGGATTGCCTAGGCCTCTACAGATTGTTTGAAGTTACTTGCAACATGACTTTCAAAATGTTTTGATCATCCAAGCTTGTTTTACAGAAAACATTTGGGCTTACAAGACTGAAAGAAGCAATATTTAATGATACAGTTCCTATTCATGTCCTTTCCATTATCTTGATAAACTTGCATTGCTCACTGTATTTTTCTTTTTTTAAAAAAAGGGGTGGGGGAGAAAAAAAAAGTCTCAAAAGCCTGGTGTCCTGAGGTTATTTTTAAACAGTAGATGCCACTAATTCCTAGTTACCTCTAAATAAAAGAGTAAGCTGGATTTCATAGCAGTCATGCTTTTTAGAGGAGAGAAAACCAGTCTTTCCTTGTGAGGCTTATTGCATATATAGAACAGTCAAAATTTAAACCAGCCACACACCCACACATTGTGTAAACACAAGTCATTTCTTTAAACACACACAAAAGTGCCTTTTCTGGTAGTGAGTTATTAACACATGTTCATTTGAAGTTTTCCAACACTTTTTGTTGTTGTTTTAGATGAGGACCTCTGCAACGCTAAGAATGGTGTGGAAAGGAAAATATATTTGGGATACTATTAGCATAAAATTTATTTTTTAATGTGATAAATTATGAGAAAGCATAACTGAAATTCAAAACAGATGAAAACTCAGAAAGGAAAAGACATTTGGAATAGTATTTGAAGATGCTTTAGCAGAGTCTAAGCCAAGTTTTTGTGATCCAGATGAAATAAGCCCTCAAGGTCTGAAGGGCTGTCCTAATAACAGCATGTGTGTAATAACGACCTTGAGGCTCTTAAAAATCAGCATTTCAAGAAAGCTGTTATTTTTATTTTTTTTCCTGCAAAAGCTTTCAAAAAAAGGGAAACCCCACACTTGGTCTCCTTATTCTCCATTGCCTAGAAAAGTAAAGTGGGGAAAATACCTGACAAATCTCTCTGTAAGTTGCTGGACAAAATTGTAAATTTCAATCCAGTTATTTGCCACACTCCCAGACCTGCAAAATGAAATTAAACTGATCAGAGAAACAAAACACAAGGCTGTAATGTAAACATTTCAAACCGTTCTTTCTTCAATACCACGAAAATGGGGGAACCTGGCCTCTCCTTCAAGCAAAGTAACGGTATCCCAGCTGAAACTTCGGTGCTACCCAGAGCCAAGGAAGTCAGCCCATCTTCAGGGACTACCTGCCTGCTAACTGCTTAGAGCAGGGCCCGGCTCTCCCAAACAAACATAGAAGGCTTCCTTCGGAAATGCAAACCACATTGGATATGTTAACCCTAGGCTTTTTCTAGCTCCAATAAGAGCTCTATGGCCAGTATAAAACCAGGCAAACTTTAGCCAGCGTGCCGGGGGTGGGAGTAGTAGGTAGGTAAGGACAGAGGGGCAGAGAAACAGTCCTGTCTGGGTTCCTGGGATGAAGAATGTTACCTCAGGTGGCCGCACTCCCATTTCTCAAAAGGCCCCATGACTGGCAAGCAGTGAATACCTCCACTGCCCCAGGGAGCCAAGTAGCCCTGGGCTCCTATCACTCCTCATCCTGTCCTCAGCCCACATAGGTCCGAAAGCGCTTGCCCTTCGGAAGGAGATAGCAACAGGGCACTCACTCATCGGCGGGTTCCCGATACCCCTTCCCAGGGCGCGCACAGACATCCCAGGCTCCCCAGCCCTAGCTGCCCCAGTGCCGCCCTCACCAGGAGACCCCGGATCTCCCTTCGGTACTCACTTGTCCAGGACGAAGTAGAGATCAAAGGCTCTTTTGCAGTCGGGCTGCTCCTGAGCTCGTAGCAGGCCCCCGGGACCGCTGAGTGCCAGCAGCCACAGCCCGGGGAACAGCCAGCTCCCGGGACTGCGGGCCGAGGACCGCCCCGCCACCATCCTGCGGCCAGGGGCCTGCGACTCTCCCTCCCGCTTGCAACTCCCTCGGCTCGGCTTAGCTCGGTAGAGACGCGAAGGTGGCGGGGTTCACCGGAGACGCACCCGGGGGTGGGGTCGGCGAGCAGCTGAGGCGCCGGCGCCTGGGGCAGCGGGACCCACCAACTGACAGAGGGAGGGAGAAAGGGGGAGAGGGAGGTCCTGAGAGGACAAAGGGAGTCTCCACAACCGCTGCAGCTGCCGCCGGAACTCCTGACGAAAACCAGTGGCAGCGCGATCCCGTCCTCCCCCTCCCGATTCCAGAGAGTTCCTGCAGACAATGACGGCCCACGGCGACAGCTCGCAAGACAAGTTCCTCCGGGCCTCGGGCCGAGCCTCTAGCGCCGGCCTCGGACCCAGACCGACAGCCGCATCCAGTCCGGCCGCTGCAGTCGCTGCGGGACAGGCGTCCCCAGCACGCGGCGAGGGCCGCCCTGACTTGGAGTGGAGTCGCTTCTCTTGTGGCTCCCTTCCTCCGGCGTCCCAACTCCCCTCGGCACTCCAAAACTTTCTTCCTTGTGCTCGGCTCTGGCGAGGCGCAGCCGGGCCGTCACGTCGGGGGAGGAGGCCGAGCGGGCTGTGGGGCGAGAGCTGGAGCACAGCCGCGCCAAGGCCAGGAGCGCGGGGCGGCTGGGTCTGGTCTGCGAGCAGCAGTGTGCGCCCGAGGGCGAGGGCGGGGCCCACCTGCAGCCGGCAGCCCTGCACGCACACTTGTGGCTTCCAGCCCGGACGCAATGACTAACGCCGGCCAGATTTGTGAAAGGGGAGAAGGAGGTCAGAAAAACAAAGTCCTCTAGAAACTGAACATACCCATGTAGCCTGCGGGCCTGGCCTACTGCAGCAGCTGTGCTACAGCAGCCTTCTGCGTGATTGGGGATCAAAGGCTAGCGATCCCGTGGGAGGTGATGACCTCTTCACTCCGCCCTACCTACCCCCACCACCACAAACACACATGCTTTTTATGAACTTCTTTTTTTTTATTTAGGAAACCTACTTTGCAGCTTCATCTCACCAAGCTAAGAAAAGGAAGGGGGTGGGGGTGGAGGACCTCTTTAGGAGTGGAAAATTGTACTTCGAAATATTTCATCCCACTGTCATTCACCCCAAGCTCCACCTCTCAAGAATTCCATCTTGGGGCAAGTAGGCTGTCCTTGCAGATTGTGTGCAGGGGCTGAAGCTTCCATGCAAATTCTCTGCTAACTCATTCTGCACTCTCTTCCACCTCTCTTGCCCCCACCAACACCTGTGACTTCAGCCCTCCCTTTGTCAAAACTGGCTTTTAGAGCTTGCAATCTCACTAATATACCAGTGATTGACAGTAATATAAGGTGCCACCTCCTTTTCATTAAAAAAAAAAATCAATGCTTTATGATAAAAGTTCCTCGCATATTGCCTTTTACCATCTCCTATTTGTTGCCATTTGTGTTTAACTTTTTTCATTTACATTTTCTTAAAACCAGATATGTCAGTTCTTTGATGCTAGAAACCAGTCACTTTAACAAAGATGTATTGTGCTAGGCACTGTTCCAGGAGTTACAGTTAATGCACAGAACAAGATGACAAGCCCCTGCTTTTATAAAACTTGGAGTCTGGTTGAGGAGAAAAAGATAGACAGAAAATAAAGAAATAAACACTTAAACAAGAAAAATGTTCATATTGAAAGGTGGTTTGCGAAGATTTATAATATGGTGATATGATAGAGAATGACTGACTAGGTGACTAACCAAAAGGACCCAGCCATTCTAAGAGGTAAGAGAGGAAACATTCTAAGCTACCACAATGGTCCCTTGAATAGGCACATTCAGGAAACAGAAAGAAAAGCATTGTGGCTGGAGCTTTGTGGGTAACATGATGTAAGAGAGATAGGCAGAAGCCAGATTGTGTAATACTTTATAAACTGTGTGACAGGATTGCATTAGAGGAGTTTATAAAATATTTCTCTTCTATCGAATTATTTGGATTTCCACTGAAATATTTTGCTTCACAATCTGTACATGCCTCCATTCTTTAAAATTATTCTTTATATCAAAGCAAATTTCTAACACAATGTTAGAATGTACCATCTTATACACAAAAAACTAATAAATACAAAAACATTTTAAACTCAGTTTAATGTGCTTAGAATAGTTTGAGATTGCTCCTGATTAAGTCTTCACTAGGCCCCCTATCATTGTTCATTTTTTCTACCTCCAGAGCTCCTATGGACTTCATGCTAAATTTTATTTCACTATTTACTTCCTGATTTTTATTTCTTTGTGGGGTTTTCTCATGTGTTTTCTATATATCTTCTTACTGATTTTTGTTTAACAAGTTTTTACTGATACCTGCTATGTATGTATCTGGTAATGGTCTAAGCACAAATGTTGGACTCCCTCCTCTCAAGCAGTTTCCGTTTCCAATCTCCTATCACTAATTTATTTCTATCTCCCCCTTCCCCAGCAACAAACAAAAAGGAAAACTAACAGCAGCAATAAACATAGGAAAATAAAATTAAATAAATGTGGGGTTTTTATGTGTAAAAAGTTGTATAATCTATATTACTTACAAGTAGACATCTTTGCAATGACAGACATGACTCTACTGGAAGTCAAGTACCACACTGCAAGTGATTCATATTCATATCACATGGGAAGTGACTCATTCCATGGTGTCCACAGTGATTCAGAGGGAGCAAATAAACCTTTGTACCTATAAGTGATAAATCTTATTTCAACTTTTGTCAGGTATAATCATTCAAAAACTGGATTTCCCCAACGTCTGAACTAGTTCCTGAGAGTGAATAAATGATTTTGGAAAGCAAAATTCCTTCTAAATTAATAACTCTAAGTTTGACAACAGGGAATGTCAACCAGTATCAGAGAATGATTACCAACATCTGCATTTGGGACCTGAGACTTTGAGATTTGCATGCAGGAGCTATATGGGGTATGCTCCCAGGAGCAAAGCCTGTGAGGAAGGAGAGAAACAGGAAAAGCCAGAGGGAAAGTTGAACCATGATGCAATTGCACAGAAGGCGGCCTCAGGCAACCCCCAGGGCAGCTCTGGAGTTGGAAAGGCCTTTCATAGTTGTCCTGAGTTGAGTGAGGCAAGAGGCCAGGGTTTTGTGTCCTTTTATGGAGTGGTCATTAAATGTGGGCTGCTCCATTACAGGGTGCATAACCTTGGGCAAAGCAGCTTCCTTTGGTTCAGGGCAATTTTGAGGAGGGACTAAGCAAACTTTTGGCTGTGGGAGAGTGAGTGTCTCAGTCCTGAAGGAGGAATCTAGGTGATGTAACTTCAGCATCCACCACCACAGCATTCAGAGCATCCACAAAGAGCCAAGATACCTGACGGCTAGCTTGATGGAAGTCCTAGCTGGTGTGCAGTGTTGGGCCTTCACAGACCAGCTCAGGCTTGGATTGGCATCCCGGAATGATAAAGCTGTGTAACTGCTTCCATTCTTTCATGCTTTCTATTGTAGCTCTGGTCCAGGTCAGTTTCTCAATTCTCAGTGGAATTACTCTAACAGATTTCTGTCTTCCCACACCTTCTACACACCTTAATGTGATTAACTTTTTGAAATGTAAAAGCGATTCTATTCATCACCTACCTAATTACTGCCAATGAAATATCATTTCTAACAATTCAAGACCCTCCGCAAAGGCATCACAATTTAGCTCTGTATCCTCAACTCTAACAAGTCTCGTTTCCTCATGTCCTCTATTTCCAGAGAAACCATGATAGTCTGTTTCCCACATATGCACAATTATACCTTTGGGTCTAATCTCATTTTGCACCCCCATTTCCCTAACACCATGTTTCAGGTGTCAAATGCTATCTTGTCTTTCTCTTTCCTTTATTCCTTTACTGAACAATTCTGGCCCAAAGCTATGAGGTAGGCCAAGAAAATGTGTGTCAGGGTGGAAAGGAGCCATAGCAGTCCAGAACAGTGTGTCAGAGGCTGAGCAGAGTGGGGAGCCTATACTCATGGTGCAGGGAGGGAAAGCCTAGTATGGGGTATGGGGCCTGAGAAGGGTGAGGAAGGTGTCCACATGAGAAGGTGGTAACCCAGCAGGAGGAGTCAAAGAATGATCCAGGTGAGGTTACCTAGCAGGGGAGGGTGGGTGCACTGAAGCTTCTGAGCCTTAGTGAGATGAGGAGGACTTCTGTACAAGACTGAGGCCCATTTTGTAGTACTTAGAGGTGGAACATGGACTTCCATGCAGGGGTTCATCCCACTGCAGGGTGTCAGAGCATGAGCAGGGAGAGAAGCAAGTCCACACTGGAAGACAAGCTGTCTCAGACTGTCAGACCATGAGGGAGGTCAGCAGAAGATGGGGCAACAGAGTGTAGGTACATGTGTCCAAGTGTTTTGAAGAGAAATTCTTTGCAGGGGAGACAGTCCAGTGTGGGGTGTATGAACCAAAGTAGGGTAAGGAGAGCTTCAGAACAGGGAGAAGTAGGTCATAGGAGTGAGTGACACTCAGCATAGGGTGTCATAGCCCAGGTGGGTTGTAGAAAGTGCCCAGGCAGTGTGGTAGCCAAGCACAGTATCAGAGCCTTGGAGGTGGTGAAAAGGCTTCCACATGGAGAAGGAGGTTTGGGAAGCCTGATGTAGCATGTAGGGATTCAAGCAAGATGAGGAGGTAGGTAGGAGGGTGGTAGGAGGAGGTGGCTGAGCACCAGTGTCAGAGCCTGAGTAGGACCCAGGGTGGTGGAAATGTCAGAACTCAGGCAGGATGAGGGAATCCTTGTTAAGGAGAGGGTAACAGTGGTGATGAGAAATTGGTTCGTTCAGGTAGTGTCTTAGATCATTTGGGATGCTATAACAAAATATCGTAAATTGGGTAGCTCATAAACAACAGAAATTTATTTCTCTGCAAGTACTAGATCAGGGCACCAGCAAATTTGGTGTCTGGGGACATAGATGTCTTTTTGCTGTGTCCTCACATGGCAGAGTGACAAGGCAGCATTCAGGGGCCACCCTTATAAGCTAATCACCTCCCCACCCTCAAATGCCATGATGTTGGGGGTTAGGTTTCAACATGTGACTATTGGCAGTATACAAACTTCCAAATCATAGTAGGGGGATTGATTAGTTAAGTCAAAATATCAGAGAAGGAAGCTGCAGATAAGGAAATAGAAAAATCTAGAATGAATCCTGTGGTGTTGCTTGCAATTGGAGATATTAGCATGAATTCATATGTATAACAACAGATATATATGTAAGTATATATACATAGACATAGTACTTCTCCCTTATCCTGGAGATACATTCCAAGATCCAAAGTGTATTCCTGTAACTGTGGACAGTACTGAATTCTATATATACTATTTTTTTCCTGCACATACATACCTAT